TAATATTACCATGACATTACTGTTAGCGGAGATAGTGAGAATATGAGGAGGAGATATGAGCTAGAAATTAATGACATCTCCCTCAAAGAATCACCTACTGACTTCGCCTCAACTTCCAAGTCTATGAATCATCAACTGTGGCGTCTCCCCCAAGATTGGTGAATTTTCTAATGGCTTTCTGAACGTGCGAAACAATTGAATGTAAAAAACAAGTGTGCGCGCGTACTTTTTGCTTTTATCTTTTCGCACGTCCCCCAAAGCCCCATTTCGTTCCTTTTTTGCCTGGTTCTCTTGTTTAATTCATGCACTTCATTCGTTCCTCTGTCTTCGTTTATAATTAACCAAAAGAGAACACCGGCAAAATACTCTCTTCATTTCGTTCGTGCCTTGTTCAGTTTAATAAAGTAAAAGCACGCTTCATTTCATCTCATTGTCTTTGGGTGCTACACATGCAGATTCAGAGCTGCCATGAACTTGACAGAACTGCACTTACACTCTGACAAGTTTCTGCCAAAGACATACTCGCCTCCAGAGCTGGTGCAAATTCTGCGCGTTCGCAACTTCTTCACCCCCGAGCCGTCATCATTCGTCGGCCCAGATTTCTGCCATCCTCTTTAGTCGCTGCCCTCCCTTTGCGCCTGGAACTCCCGCATGCGGCCCATGTCGGAGGCAAGCTCCTGGCACTGCGGTGCGGGTGCTGGGTGCGACAACACTGGTCTCATCTGATATCCACAGCTCGGCCCAGTGTCAGCAGTAGAAACGATTCCCGAGGCAAGGCAGGATTCAAACGGCCCTTCCTCGCTGTCCTACCGCTGAAAACCTCCACAAAATGAGGCTTTGTAACGAAACGCAATCCATAATCCCGAAACCGGAACACAAAAGTGCAGGCCTCGTGAGATGTCGTGGAAGACAAGTAGGCTTCTTCGTCCCAGTCTGATTGCCAAAGGAAGGCTAGAGGGATGTAAGCAAGAAACACATGGCGTGGTTGCTTATACCTTATGGGGCCCCGGGCTGTTTCCATAGTCGTGGATGCGCCGGAACAGCTCGAAATGCTTGTCCGAGAATTTCTGAGTCAGGTATGGTCATTGGTGACCACAAAAGAATCGGACTCACCGGGTCAAGAGCCTGCGCATTGGTGATGTCTGTAAAGATCCTCCCAGACTCGCAGCCAGCAAGTGTGAGCTACGAAGCTGATGAAACGGTGTGGTGGAAGGCAGGGCAGCAGCCATGTGAATGACATTCCTGCAGCCCAACACACTGAAAACCTGCACTTCAGATGACAGTCGTCAACCGGCGAAGTTTCACTGTCCGCTGCAACTCACGACACAGCATAGAAGTAGGACCTAGGAGGTGCCCCCAGCTACGTCAGAACATCGGAAGGAGACCCATCCCTTGTGGTAGTTGCAATTGCAATTATACGGAACCCTGCTCCAAACAATTTGGAAACCAAACATGCTTGAAACACCACACATCAATCCGGTCTTCTCGCGCACAGCAGCCGTGTAGTGGTTGAACTGCCGGTTGTGGTGTAAGATGCTTTCCACCTCTTGGCAGTGGAGCGGCTGTCAAAGGTCTGACGACAATCTTTGCGTCCCTCATCCCATGTATGAGCTGCTAGACCCCTGTATGATCGAAAACTCCGGGGCCCTTTGCCGTTTGCGTGCTGCCAGTGGAGGAAGAAAGGTGCTTCACCTGGAATGCTCGCATCGTGAGCTTCGGGCCCTATAACAGCTCAGCAGAGATCTCGAAGCATTTGTTGGACGAAGCTGCATAGTGCGGCGAGCTCAGCAGCGAGAGGATGCCATTCACCACCTACAGCCATCCAGGGCCGAGGATCATCTAGCTGCAAACGGAAATGCAACTTCTTGTACACGCTATCCTTCAGGGACAGAAGCTGGTCATTCCAGTCCTCGCCTGAACCGAAGAACGCCAAAGCTTTGTCAGCATCTCAAGGAACTGGTCCAGCGAAGGATCGAAAACCTCCGAACCATGTGTGACTGAGTTGGCTGACATCCTGAGCTTAGCACCAACCTCGAACTCCCTCTCATGAAACACATGCAGCGCAAAGCTTGGAAACATGGATGGCGAAAAATCCCAGCTGCGATAAGTGGGCTGCACATCGCGAGTAGAGACCTTCTATCAAACTTAGGAAGCCATGCTGCCAACATATCGCAACCCTCACGTGCCATAGTCTTCTCGCCATACGCCACGGAAATCGAAAACATCTTCGTCGAGCTGTCAACCTCATCGCGGAGCTGGACCGCTCATTGAGAAAACGAACATCTGGAAGCATCTGTTTGCAGATTCAGCCATACACGTTATCCGGCAAGCAAACATACATATACACATATATCCATCCATGCATGCAGACATACAGACAGACAGACAGAC